AAACCATCACTAAACCATGTCCCTCAGCACCACATCTACACATCTTTTAAATACCTCCAGGGATGGCGATTCCACCACTTTCCTGGGCAGCCTGTTCCAGTGGATGATGACCCTTTTGGTGAAGACATTTGTGCTAATACCCAGTCTAAACCTCCGCTGGCGCAACTTGAGGCCATTTCCTCTTGCCTGTTACTGGGGAGAAGAGACCGACCCCCACCTCACTACATCCTCCTTTCAGGCAGCTGTAGAGAGCGATAAGGTCTCCCCTCAGCCTCCTTTCCTCCAGGCTGAACACCCCCAGGTCCCTCAGCTGCTCCTCATCAGACTTGTTCTCCAGACCCCTCACCAGCTCCGTTGCCCTTCTCTGGACTCTCTCCGGCATCTCAATGTCTTTCTTGCAGTGAGGGGCCCAAAACTGAACACAGTGCTCGAGGTGGGGCCTCACCCGTGCCAAGTATATGCCTTTTCACTTTGGTAACCAGCTGCACAGACCGAGCAGCGCGCTGCGGGAGTTCCTGTGAGTTACCCCCTCTATTCTGCACGCACGGTGGCTTTTCACCACCACCTCCGAGCGCTGCTCGGCGCCGCCACCGGGTCTGGAGCAGAGGCGGCCGGGCCAAATGTAACTGTTTATTAGAATGTTTTAACATCTGCAAAACACACGCTGGTGCATTACAATTCATCCTTTTAATAAACGTTTGGTGAAAGTTTTCATACAACAGCTTTTTGTCTAATTTGAAATGAAAATAAGTCCCAGTATGTCAGAATTCTTCATGGAACGGAGAATTAATTTATCTGACCAACTGTAGACATCCGACAAGTGATAGGAAACAGCCTATGTCTGAGCGCGTTGTGGCTGTGTGGAGGTCTAAGCTTGTGCTTACATAAGGATTATCATGGAATCAAACTAAAGCAGTAAAAGTTGTTTACGTTAATGAGGAGAAAGATCATAAAACTGTTGTCAAAAAATAGATCATATAAATTCAATGATATATGGCAAAGCTAATTAAAAGTTCTCAATTGCAGTGTTATTGCAAGTCCCTCATAGTCAAGGATAAAAGGGCTGTTGTGGAGCGTGGGAGCGCTGACTCCACAAGATGACTCTACAAGCAATAAATGCATTTAACTGTCTGCAGCGTCTCTCAACACACAACAAGGGTGGTTGTTGTATTCGTGTCTGCTTGTGCATCCTCCTCTTTATGTCCCCGGGGGATCCGCCTCGCTTGGCCCCTGGAGAAAGGGGGTGGTGGTTTGCTTTTGGTGTTGCCTCGCAGGAGACAGATGGTTTCTTGTCGTTTCACCGTTTTTGCCATCTCCTGCGCGGTGTTGCTTAAATAAACCTTCTCTTTCTTGGCCCCCGCTGCACCGCCTTGTTCCTAATGCGTCTGTGTCGTGTCAGAAGCTGTGAGTCGCACACAGCAGAAGGCTCCTCGCGAGCGTGAAGAGAGCCCGGGAGCGCTCACAGGACGGCTCTCCTAATTAGAAGACAGTTAAGTGACTGAGTGTTTTGAAAGTGTCTAGGGTGATAATTTAGTTGTTAACTTTTTTTTTTTTTTTTTTTTTTTTTTTTTTTGCGCAATGCCAGACATCGTGTGGTTGCCTTGTGAAACGTATGTAACGCTCTCGCATGGTCTGTGAAAAAGCTTGGATTGAAGCCGTGTGCCGCCGCGGAGGGAAAGTGCAGCTGAGACATGGTGGCAATGCCAAGGCTGTAGCTTTCAGCGTGGCATTATAGTTTTGAATGTGCGTTCCCAAGAGATGAAGGCTCAGAAGTAGCATTGGTTCAGTACGTGAAGTGTTCCCATCTGAGTGCAAACCCTCAGTGAAACACAAGGCTTCAAAGGAGAGACAGTGCCTCATCTGTCTGCAGGCCCCCCAGGCCAGGAGAAGGAGGGGATGTCTTCTTTAGAGGTCTTAATTTCCATTTTCATGAAAGGTCATGACAGTAAATACCTTAGGTGTGCCTGAACATTGTGAAACCAGGCTGTCCGAGGCACTGAAGAATCCTTATGTGAGCATTGGTCACCGTGCTCCTTTCCCCCATTGCTCTGTTTGTGGCATGCCAGAAGGTCTCAGTGCCAATGAGTGGAGAAAATTTGGAAACCAGGATAAAACAAATAGGAACAATACATGTAGGGTGAGAAACCAGGACGGAAACTACCGCATCATGCTAATTTAGGACCTTGCATTGCTTGTAAAAAACGTTCACTGACGTGTACCCACCTGAGTGCCCTTGCTGTGCTCAGGCTGTTTACCTTGTACTAAAAATCTGTTGCTGGTGCCTTGAATGACTTGCAGCTGCAGTAGTTGTATAAAAGCAGTTAGCGATTTCCTTGCATTGCAAATTCCTGTTACATTTTGATAAGCCTTCACAATTATATATCATATATTTGCCAAATGACGTATTAAATAAATGGAAATTGGGTAAATACAGGTTTTATATTCTGAAATTGGTTTATGCCACAATAAAATTGGACTTCTATTTGATCATTAGCATTTCTAGGGGAAAAAAAAGTAATGTCTCATCATTGTTTACGTCATTATTGCCATGTGGGACAGTTGATGATTCTTAATTACTTAGGAGATGATTGTATTTGAAGAATTACAAGAAGCAGAGTCTTGTTAAAGGGAGATCTCATGAGATGGCATAAAATGGGGAAATGATGGCAGCAGGGAAATTATTAATAGATTTCATCAGACAGGGACTTGGGCTGATGTAGCTCAGTATTTTAGTTGATGACCTCAGTGCACAAAATGGGATGCAGTAATGATGTTTGCTGATGACCCAAAGTTGGGAGCTCTTTGCAGGGCCAAAGAGGACTGAGGTATCCTGCAGGAAAAATGGAGTGACGTTGAGTGTTAAAGTGACACATATGGGCTGAAGTGCAGCATGCAAGGTTTGGGACTGGTACCAAGGAACAAGGAGTTCAGTAACAGGAAAGAAGAGAGACTGGAATGTAGTAATGGGTCCCAGGATGTGAGCAACTGCTTTATGACAGCGGAAAAATAAATTGTGATCCTTTGTGTGCAACGGAAGAGATCATTTAAAGAGAGACGCAGAAGTGTGAACTTTCTTGTACAAGGCTGTGAGAGCTGAACCTGGGATCATATGCATCAGATCTGGTCATGCATTTCAAAAAAAAAAAAGGGACGTGTCAAAAGCTGTTGGGATGGTGGAGTAAGTGGAGAGTCAAGAGTTTAGGTTGTTTTCCTAGGCAAGCTGAAGTTAAGAAGGAACATAACAGTTTAAAAGACCCCATTAGGTACAGTATTCCTGTGGAGCTTGTAATTGGGATCTACAGTCTCCAGTGCCGTGTATTGAAAAGTCTCCTATAAATTCTGGGAATTCCTGTGATCACCTGGTAGGCAAAGCCCCCAGGAACAGGGGAGACTCTCAGCTGAAATTGTGATGTATTTGTGACTCCGTGCTTTCTTTCCCGGAGGCTAAATGTATTATCCAAGCTCCACTGCCATGCCATCCAGAGGAGCGGGGGAAAAAAAATCCGGAGCACCTCCTTTTTGCTTGAGGGAAGTGTGTTGCAGTGCCAGTGCCAGCCTTGATGCAGACACCTCTTCAGTGTGAGTCAGCACGCTGACTCAGAAGCCAGACACTGTGGTTGCCCTCTTTCCCCCCAAGACGTGTTCATGATTACAAATAACGTGGAGAATCGGCTGTGTAGAAGAGTATTCCTTATTCTTAGGAGGACTCTGCTGCCTCCCTGAACTGCCAGTGAGAAGTTACGTGTGATAAGAACTTTGTTTTTTTTCTTTTGTTTTGCCTCTTGGAACCTTTTTTCTGAGTGGTGGAGAATGTTGCGCCGTGGCATTAAGTCTTCTGCAGAGTTACCTGTAGTATCTTAACTAGCCTGGATGTATTTAACTTCCCTTTTGGCCTTCAGTCAGCAAAAGTGAACGCTGCATCCTCTGTCCTGTTGCGTCCTCTTCAGAGAGTTTCCTTGGGATCTGCTGAAGCCAGGGAGGAAGGGGGATGGATGCGCTGGTTTGGCTCCCCTTGTGCCTGCATGGCCATAAGTAAGAGTTAACAAAAGCCGCCACCAGTTGGCAGTTTCAAATTTAAAAACAATGTCAGGGCTTTTTTTCTTAAGTTCCAGGTGGCTAAGCTGTCGATCAAAATCGTTGTTATACATGAATGTGGCACTGAATCCATGTATAACAAGACTCTTGATGGACAGGTTTTTTTTAAAAAGAGTGATTGGGATGGGAACTCTGCCACTCCTGTAGTGCTGGCAGTTACTCATGTGGGATGCTACCTAGAGCACATGCAGGGGGAGCTCCTTTTCCCTTAACTCTCAGGTTCTTTTGTGCTTGATTACAATTACGGTTTATAATAATGTATGGCGGTTTTCACCAAAAGTGTGTTACTTCAGTAAATTTTTCTCTGTTTTGAGATTACTTCTTTGGTTTGCTGAGTTGTTTGCTCTTATCTGGGGTTACGAAAATGGATGCACTGCGGGATTGCTGAAATTTTGACTCCATCCTGAAAAATATTTCTCAGATTTCACTTTCCAGTTGAGAAATGTTTTCTGGCGTCTCTTCAGGAAGAGAGATCTGTGAACCTCTGTGGCTGACTTGAAACTAAGGGCTGTGTTTACTTGCTTCAGAGTTACACAATATCCAGTTGTTGCTTAAAGGAGGGGACAAAACCGATTTATTGTTACTGCTAAGCAAGCCTTTCTTCCATCTGATATCGGTTTCATTTCTTCACCTGTTCTCTGTGGTTTCGCATTCTTAGCTGTTCCATCCCACGTTTCCTCCTCCCATGTCTCCTAGTAGGCAAAGCTGTTTGTAAAACCTGTTTTCTTTGTAAGGCATTTTTGCAGCTGTGGTTGGTTCTGCTCTCAAATGACTAACTGCCTCCTAAGAAAATTCAGAAAAATATAATAGCCACGTTTTTTTAACCCAAACTCCAATTTATTTAAGGGAAATATCTTTAATGTTTCTTATGCCTGCATTTTTCACACTTTTTTATTATTTTTCAGGGTTTGGGTATCTCCTAATTGAGGAGAGTCAAAATACTGATTGCAAGTGAATCCTCCTCAGTCAGCCTGTTGGATGTCTCTGAGAACATAAGAAGTCATGGCAGAAAATGATGCGACGCCAACCTTACCAAAAAAGTGTGGCCCTTATATTTCATCTGTAACCAGTCGTGGCATGAATTTGGTAATTCGTGGTATAGTGCTGTTTTTTATTGGCGTATTTCTTGCATTAGTATTAAACTTGCTTCAGATCCAGAGAAACGTTACTCTCTTCCCCCCTGATGTGATCACAAGCATCTTCTCCTCAGCTTGGTGGGTACCACCTTGCTGTGGCACAGCATCAGGTAAGTTCAGTTGTGTACGTGTGCCTGGCGTGGAGATGAAAGGGTGGATAGGTAGTTACATAGTTACAAAAAAACTATATAAACAATGTTGAAGACAAAAATTTCTCTTCCAGCATCACTGCCCTTTTTGAGGTTTTACCATCCTTCTGATCTCCCCACGCGTACATAAATACACATGCATGTGTCCAGAAGCTGTTGTTCTGCTAACTTGTTGTATTGTAATGTTGTGAGCAGAACATAACCTTTGAAGAGACTTTAGAAGGTGGTGGCAGTTGTAACCTTGAGGCTGGATTACAGGAGTATGCTCTACAGGCAGCCCTTGAATGTACCCTGGAAATCCCAGACGGTGCAGCATGCAGTACCTTGTTTGGAGTGCAGCAGATCCCTCTGAGTAATGCTTCCTTTTGTGGTCCAGCTTTCCATTTGTTCCTCATTCCAGTTCGAGGTATCGCTTTAGCTCCCTAAAGCTGGGAGAGCTGACTGTGTCTCAGAGAAGTGAGGCCAGGCACGCAGTTTGCAGTTGTAGAGGTGCATTGCAGAACAGAGCACCTCAGATTCATGTGTCAAGTCGGATGACGTGAATATGCTCCATTTCTCCCATGACCATGTAGGGAGTTGAGGCTTTTGCGTGTTTAGCTAGTTTAAGTGAGATGTCTGCTGTAAATAGTAAGAAGTATCCCTTTTTCCTCTTCTTTCATCTTCAAGTATCAAGGCGTATTCCATGTTACAAGTCTGATGGAATTTGGCTTTCTGCTTGGCTGTGAAGATCACTGATCCCATGGGTCAGTTTTACGCTTTCTAAGGGAATATTCTTAGCAGCCAGTACGGGAGGATTCTACTTTAGCGAACCTTTACAGTAAAGGCAGTATCTTCCTAGAGGTCAGTTTTAAAAAGATTGAGAAGCCCACACTTCTGGGTATTAATATGAGTCAATAAACTAGCTTTTGGTTGGCATCACTGTTTTGCTAATGATAATATTTAAGTCTGTTTTTTTCCTAGTCGTCTAATTGCTTTCTTGCTGAAACACTACACCCCAGATGTCATAGAGGAGCTTGATTTGAAAGGAAACACTCCAAATATCTCTATGAATATGTCAGTTTTGTTCTCCTGTGGAAATGTGTTTGGCACGTTATGGTGTCAGTTACGTACTTGCTTTATCTGCTAGTTGTCTTAGTCCTCTTTCTGTTGTCTTGCTGAGACTGTTGGTTAGTTTTTTGGTTTGTATCCTGCATTTGCTGCATTTTTCTTTTATACATTAAACTGATTGTCTTGACAAACATTTCTGGTAAAGGGTCAATCTTTTATATATGGAGTAGTGGGGGTTGAAATGACAATCCCAACTTGCAGCAGCAGTGCATAAGGTTTGCAATGTTCACTGTAATGTTTGCACTGTCAGCTGTTTGCATCAGGCTGCACCTTATGCTCTCTTGGGTCATCTGAGAACACTGCAGTTGCGTATGGGGAAGTCGTGAAGTCTAGATCTTGCCGTCATCTCACAAGAAACTTGTGGGCCTTTCTGGTTCTGATGGGTTGGTGGTTTTGATGGAAGGACTAGATGTGGCTGGTAAAATGTAGTCAACCACCCGCTAGACATTTGCATTACTTGATTTGAAACCATGATTTAAAGGCATTACTGCCTTAATTGGCTTTTCCCAGCAGCGGTGACCTCTGTTGAGGTGTTCCCAGTTCTTTCTTTTTTGTTATCAGTCTTTTCTTCTCCATTTTCTTTCCTTATCTTCTCTGCTAGCATGCATACAGCGAACCTTTATGGTAAATGATGATAATTCACCCATTTTCTTACCATTTGTACTTGCACAGCCTTCCTGGAATTGACATGAACATTTCTCTGTAGTATGGTTTATTGTTGTGAACAGAATAAAAGTATTTTGCATATTTATAATCAGTGGTGATCAAGGCTGCTTTCAGAAAAGTCCTTTCATCCATCACCGTTACTAGTCATCAGTTTGGCCCAGTGCCTTTAGCAAGAAAACTGTTCAGGGAGGTGGTTGTTTTGTTTTGTTGTTTTTTTTTTTCTCTCCAGCTTTGCTGGTGATTTATTTTCTCGAATCCTGGAGATCAGTTTCCTCTCTGGCAGAATAGAGAGCATTTGCCATAACAGACCTCCAGCAGCATGCCAGACTGAGGGCACTGGAGTCCGTACCGATGACTCAGGCTCTGCCCCCCTGCTGCAGCACCAGTGTTATTCCTCAGCCGTGTTGGTAACAGTCTTTTCAGCTGCAATTGCAGCAGAGAACACATTTATGAAGAAATGTTCAAAGAGCATAGCAGTTCCCTGGGGTTGAAAGTCCTGTTTGCTTTCTGTATTCGACAGCTACCGTAGGCTCTTGGCTTTCCCTCTTCTGTTTGAGCTTTTGTAGTAGCACTGAAGAAGGGAAAAACATTACCCTAACAAACTGCTTGTAACAACGACAAAGGAAGACACAAAATATTGATGTTATAAACCACACTCTGCCCTTACTGTGGTGTGTTTGTTTTGCAGTTATTTAAACATGTATGTTTGATATGTGGGATTTTCAAAAGTCCAGCCTGCAAGCTATTACTGCTCTGTTTGAACTACAATGTCAGACTGCAGATTTTGGTAGGGTGGAGAGCTCTTTCATCCTCTGCCCCTAGTTCAAATTGTCTCTGGTTCGCTACTTCTGCTACATCACTGCTGCAGTGGTTGACAATTCTGCTGAAGTCTTACAGGGCTTTTAAAACTAATGAAATTGTTTGAAATTCCTCTTCTTTTACAATGCATGTTTTGTACTGTTTATCATTAAAAGATCTGTTTTGGTAGTCACAATAATTGTCAAAGTCTAGATAGTCATTATTTTAGTTAAATATTGGCAGTGTTTTAACTTATGGGCATTTTTTCTTTCCTGTTTCCACAGCTGTGATTGGGTTATTGTACCCATGCATGGACAGACATCTGGGAGAGCCACATAAATTTAAGAGAGAATGGTCCAGTGTAATGCGATGTGTAGCAGTCTTTGTGGGAATAAATCATGCCAGCGCTGTATCCTATATTCTAATGAAATTGGTGGTAACAAATGGGTTTCCACTAAAACAAAGCTCACATAGTCAGGCACGGTGAATTGTTGTTAAAGATATAACATGCAGCATTTTTGCAAGGGAAATGCAGAATATTTTGTTTTTATTTATTTTATTTTATTTGAATAATTAAAGTAAATGCGGGGAAATATTTCTGTGGTAGGTATTACAGAAAAGCGCTTTAAGACATTCCAAGGGTTGGTGTCCTTTTAACACCATAGCGAGAGGCTGAAGCCCAGTACTGAGGTCATCAGTGAAGCGCATGCACTTTGCAAAGAATGAGGAAAACTCAGGACCAGATAATACCCAGGACTACACAAAGCAAGTAGGCATTGTTACCCCATTCTGCAAATGATCCCTTGATGCTGTAGTAGTTGCCATTCCTGTGGTCATTCAGTAAGAGCAATTACAAGTCAGTCAGCCAGCATGTTGCAGTGCATTATACTCCTAATTTTGTAGCTATTCAGATACATCCTTGCACAAGTGTGGTCAAAATTGGCGTCCCTTCCCTCTGAAGCAGCTGGGGACCTACTGGGTGACAGGGTGCTTTTCACGTGGACTGACACACCTTACTGGCAGAGCCGTGAATCTTAGTGGTTTTGTGTAGTCATGCCTAGTGCCTCCTCTGTCAGGTAAAACCAGGTTCTGTCTGTGAAAATTGGGTTCTTGTAAACTAATTAAATACAAAGTTGATCATCTCTGGAACTCTCATCCCCTTCAGTGTCATCTCCAATACGGTTTGCAGAAACCATGCTAAGAAGTTCTGATTGCCTGCTACTAAATCTCCTCATTTCCAGGAAAAGGGGGCAAGTTAAGCGAAAGATGGGAGAACTGGCTGAACTCTTAACTGTGGTGGCTTGGCCCTGGGATGGGTTTTGTTGTTGTTTGGTTTTGTTCCCACCAGCCATCCCATCCAGTATGGCCGGATGAGCTGGAGCTGCCAAAGCTCAGAGTCATTCCTACTGTCCCTCACAAACCTTGCTCTCCCTGACGATGATCCATTAGTCTGGTCCCATGTTCCCGCGGACCTGGACTGTCCCTGTTGTGTGAGCACATGCAACTTCGCTGCTTTTAAGAAATATGAGAGAATTGACACCTCTCTCTGCATGGGTCAGATTATTTACAGCAAACCTTCTCGCAGTTTTCTAACAGCTGTTACACATATTCCAGGACATCATTAATGTACCGTCTGTATTTCCTCTTTGACAGCTCTCCAGACTGCTTTCTTTTCAGCTTTTGACCAGTTCTACACATTACCATGTTTGGTGTGATTTTTGGTATTGTTTGGCATTTTTTCTGATGCTATTGATTTTTATCCTATAATTATTTATTTCAGTTGAACTTCTGTCTCATTTCCTTTAGGTCTCTCTCCAGGTCTTTGTGAGAAAACAGGGCAGTATTTTTATGTTGTCATCCCATAAATTTGCTTTCAGGCTTATGAAACTTGACAGCCTCCTTTATAATAATAATCTGTTTTGGGCAGGAGTAGTGAGCATGAGTTAGCATTTCCAAAACACTTATGAAGAATGCGAAACACTACAAAGATACCTGGAGTGACTTCACACTTTTATCACAGGGGTTGACAAAAACTGATTTTCAAGGTTGATTTATTGGAATACTTTCACAGTAATATTATTTACATTTTGTTTTCTATAAAACATTAACGTTTTTAATGTTTAGCGGAACGTAAACTAGGATGTAAATTAAACAAAATTGCAATTAAGGGAGACTAATACCTTATTTCAGTAAATCCTTGTCATTTAGAGGAGTCTAATGCTAGATTTAAGATTTTCTGCTTAGTGTAATAAAGGACCAGGTAAGGATGAGATGTCCTTACTCTGAGCAGTAACACGTGCGTTGTATGTGCGTATAAAATGCCTGCATTATCTGGTAGGTGTATTGTCCCTTTGCTCTTATACAGTGCTAAGACCCTAAAAATGTGAAGAAGGGTCATAAGTTTTTAGTTTCCTGATGTACTGGCAACACAAGGCTTCTTTCCTTGTACCTGATAGCTGTGTGATAGCTGATACAGCTATGGCCATATTTTTTAATGGAATTTTTTTCTGTTGTGCCAAAATATGATAAACAGAATGAAGAAAACTGCTTTACACTTGTATATGGTATTTCCACGCTTATCCTTAACAGTCAACACAGAAAGTGGATTTTGCCAACAATATCCAGCTGTCTCTCACATTAGCAGCTCTGTCAATTGGACTGTGGTGGACGTTTGATAGATCACGCAGTGGCTTTGGTCTTGGAGTAGGAATTGCTTTCCTGGCCACATTGGTGTCACAACTTCTGGTCTACAATGGAGTTTATCAGTAAGTATTTATTCCTTTAAGGTTAAATTTATTGCTTTACGGTCTCCTGAAGTTATAACATGAAATCAGAATAACCGAAAGGGCAGAATTTGATGTGATTTCTGAAGCTGCCAGCACTTAATTTTAAGCGTAACATAAATTGGACTGTTTATGAAAGCTTTTATGTGTTTGTAAGTGGGACTTTTATTTGGAAGTTACTTATTTCAATAAAATTGTTATGCTATCAACAATGTAATGTGTTTTTTTTTAGTTGAACAAATGGGATTATAATGAATAAGAAGCTTTCTTTGTTATTTTTAGCAAGTAATTACATTTCAATACTACATGTCTTTTTCAGTTGAAATGTCCTAATATTTAAATTTGTGGATTTGTCTCATGTGATTGGAGCACTCTATGTATTCCACAATGTTGAGCTCAAAAAAGCGTGTTCTTTTCCAGATATACGTCTCCAGATTTCCTTTATGTTCGTTCCTGGTTACCATGTATATTTTTTGCTGGTGGAATAACTATGGGCAATATCGGCAGGCAGCTGGCAATGGTAAGTTTGGAGGGGGGTCAATTGCCTTCTAGTAAAAGTTTTAATCTACATATCATTCCTTCCTTCATATCTACCAACCAGCTACTTGACTTGTGGATGTGGGATAGAGTAGAAATCATTAATCATTGCTTTTTTATGAAGTTAGTGAGCCATTAGTACCATTATTCAGAGCACAGCCCATGATTTTGCTCTTCTCCTGGTCTGGACACTCTCAGTTGCACACTTCTAGTCCTTTCAGGACCAGGAGCTAAATAAGAGTTTCCATGTTTTGGGAGAAGTCAGGCCATCCCCTAAGTCTGAACTGCTCTTTCTGCTGCTGAATGAAACAGAAATTGCAGCAAACAGTGTGTGCTTGGGGAGACAAAACTTACCTGTTTGGTGTGCAAGCTAAGCTATTTTATCACCCATTTTGTAGAAAAAAATCCCCCTCATAGCAGTCTTTTTCATTAGTTATGTAAATTAATATTATTAATTTTGTCAATTTCTGTTTTTCAGTATGAATGCAAAGTCATTGCAGAGAAGTCTCACGAGGACTGAGGAGAATCAATGTGCACCTTTTAAACAGGAAAATATCTGACAAATGACTGTTGGAAGAGCATAAGGAACACTTGACTATGAAATTGCCAAAATGCAATTTTTTTTTCCCTTGAGTGGTATACATTACTGCAATCTGTGATTGCTGCTTCTATAGAAACCTTGATGTCTGATTTTGATTACTGTGAAGTTACAATAGTATGCAATACATTTGACAATATTGGTTCAATTATAGGATTCTTTTTTCCAAATCTAAACTGTTTACCATAAATTCTTGTCTGTCCACAATGTTGCAGTGCCAAACTGAACCTTTGCACTATGTTTCTGTAGCTGAAACTTCTGCTTCACTTTATCTTGAAAGTTCTGAGGAGTTTGTTCTTAATAGCTCAGTGAAAGACAGGGGATCTAAACTTAGGAATAAAGATCTCTCTTTCCATGATGATTGCCCGTATTTATGAAATTAGTGGATTACAGGGGAGCTTTGATGCAATAAGTAACTGGTTTCTGCCTGTTACCACACTGTATCGTTCTTCTTACATCACAGGTGAGGAAACTTAATATGGATTGTATGGATTATTGCTGTAGCATTTCATTTGGCTGTGGTACATGCCCAGTATGACAGAATACACAAATGGAAACCGAGGCTGGAAATTGTTTGCAGTTTTTTTGGCTAGTACAACCAGTATACATGTTTGTATATGAATTTATGTAGACCCATCATCATCAGATGTGGACAGATTCTGAAACTACTTGTTGTGTTGAGTAAAGGGATACAATTCGGGTCATTCTTGTACAGTCTCTTAAGCTGACTTGTGTTGATCCCTTATTAAAAAAAGGTAAATCTTAGGGAGTTTTTATTGCGAAACTTAATTCTGCTGAACTAAATCAGCGACTACCATATAGTGTCATAAAACTCTCAATTACCAATGTTACTCTTGGTAGTTCTTGTCTACTACCTGCTCTGGTCACAGGGATCAGCAGAAGGAGACAAGGCTGTATTTTAGGTACTGATGTAGCCGTTACGGCTGTGACTATGGTCCAGGCAACCATAAATGCATTTGTTCTTATAGCAGTTTTCTGAGGCAGAGAAATGCTGTTACCCCTGTTTTACAGGTGCCTGTACATAAAAACGCTGATAGGGCAGACGGCAGAAACAGGTTGTATGCTAATCTATTCCTTTCTTAACGAAGAAGGATTTTTAGTGTGTGACCCATATTTGCGGGCATATGTGGAATTTCCTCTTGGTTTTACAGCTCTTAAGACCATGAGATGAAAGAACTTGTGCAAGAAGGCAGAAAGCATACTTCAAGAGGACACTGCTAACCTGTGCCAGCAGTGAATTTCGCATGGGATGTCTCTGCTTTGTTTCCCCCCTTTCTGTCTCTGTGTTGATGACGTTTTAATGTATTTGTTTTCCTTTTTTGTCTTGAAGTACTATTTTTTTAAAAATCTTCCATGAAAGGTTTGTAAGACATGTTACACCTCCCTTACCTAGGGAGACTGGAGTTGGTCCAAAGAACAAATAGTTGTTTAGACAAGTTTTTACTAATAAACATGTATGCGATGTACACAAAGTTTGAAATAGGCAACTCTTTTTCAGTCTTATGTGCTTATCTGTAAGTCTGAAAAGTATGCAATGGAGTGCTTCCAAAATCGTTGTAAAGAAAGAGGTGGTCACAAAAGGAAAATTTCTTGAATAGGGAAGTGTAAAAATAATAAATAAGCAAATGATGTGCAAAGAACTTGGTTCTGCAGCTGCACAAAGTTTCATCAGCTTAGCACGGTTCCGTCAGCATTCAACACCTGAAGCACGCTTTCGTGGGGTCATGTTTCAGGAAAGCACGTAGAGATGTGCTTTGCTTTAAGCAGAGGTCGAACATACTTAAGTAGATCCCAGACCAGAGATTTTCTTTTAGTCAAGCCACAAGGCAGTAAGAAGAACTGAATTGATAAACCCAAGAAGCTGTTAGGGTATGAACTAAGGGTGGGTTTGTTTAGGCAGGCTCTGGCGTTTCACTGACGGAGCTGTTGGGTCCCTTTCCGTACAGTATTTGGCCTCATCCACCTTCTTTACGTAAACACATGGCTTCAGCTTGGTGGGCAGCGTGATGAGTCCCTCTTGAATTATCAGGGCGTGAGTGGGATAAAAATTCACTTTTCTTATCTGAACTGTAGGGAATAACATGGTACCTCAGTAGCCAGTGTGCTGACTTGGTAAACAATGTGCTTTCATCATGACCAATAAGTGTACGCAACTGGTGATGAGTAGTTTTTATTATTCACTTGATGGTAGAACTGCTTTTACCTGCCAGTCTAAATATTTACACAGAAGAAGCCTTGTATATGTTAAAACGTGCAGTATGTGAGAAGTGCTTATTGTGCATCTGTGACACCCACATCACAGCACTCTGCATTCGGATTCATCTAAACCTGATTAGACTGTGCTGCCCACTAATTAAATTTCATTTTGGAAATTTTAAGCATGTTGTGCAAAGGCAGCAATCATCCAAAATAGATTTGGGTGGAGTCCTTTATTATACGTGTGTTACTATTTTTATTCTTATTTGGCTAAAGTCGATACAAGATTCGCGTCTTGGATGTCATATATTTGGGGACTGCATTGTAATTTTGTGGCTGGTGTGTTCAAACCCTGAAAAAGGTTCACGATGAGAATGCTGACATGGCCTTAACTGTAGTGGTGTGAACATGCTGCTACTGTATAGCCTGTAATTATAATATTAGACTGTCTTAAAAATGTTGTTCAATAGAAAATGAATAAGGTATATTTTAGATACGACTTTATAAACACTATAACCTCTTCACTAATTAAGCGTTGTAAGGTCTATGCTGTTTAAACTGGCAAATTGCTGTTAAAAGCAAAATGTGCATTAAATACAGTTACAACCTTGTTTAGAGGTTTCTTCTTTCTTTAAGAAATGATACGGATTTTAAAAATACACTGAGTTGCCTTCTATCAGCAATCTCGTAATAATTTTGACCATTGAGCCGGCATATTGGTTGCACAAAACACCTGTCTAGAAATACTAAAAAAGAAGCAGGCAAGATCACATCGGCCGCGATTCAATCATAATTAGCATGCTGAGCAGCCTTTGAATATGTGCCCTTTTGCATCTGCAATGGGAATATTTGAGCTGGGTGCAAATAAGCCAGATATCTTCAGTTGCAATACAGAAAATAGAGATTTAGATATAAATAGCCCCTATGAATATGAAAAAAACCCACATGAATGGATGGGAATCCCTTAATATATTTGTATTTATTAATGTTCCGGTCTGGATATGAAGTGAGTGTTATTCTGGTATTCACAGCCTGTCTGTTTGTAGTGCCCATCGCTCTGTCTCAAAAAAGATGTAACAAATAGAGGTTTAGAAACGTGTAATGAAAAAGCCTCCAGGCAGAGGTGAGGGAAGAGTGGGGAGAGAGGTTCGCTGGTATGTGAGGTGCTGTGCCCACGGTAGGACAGCACCACGTGTGAAAGGTGGAAAGAGCACAGGGGGTGAAGGGAAAAGACCCGTATTTGTGTGGGATGGGGCAACCTCAGGCCCAAAAATCTAAACTCTGCTATCAAAATGTGGCGTCCCAGGCATGCCAGCTGTCTGACCAGGGGGGTTACAGCCAAGGATAGACATGATGATAATTTTACCTAGTCATGGCACTAAGATCAGTCAAAAGCACACTGGTAAAAGTGCTTTGCTGGCGACTTAACCTCTGCCTTTCATCTGTGGCCTCTCGGATAGGGCATCGCCCCAGGGAATGGAAACTCCGCCCCAGGGAATGGAAACTCCGGGTCTTTCCCGACCAGGTTCAGCCCGAGGGTGTCGAATGGAAAGTTGCCCATTTTGGAGAGAACATTCCAACCACTGGGCTGCCAGGCTCTCGTGCAACATGTATTGTGTCTCCCTTTGTCATGTGGCTGCTATAAGCAGCGAGAAGGGAGAGTAAACAAACTTTTCCTCGGCAGCTTCTGTACTTCCCTTCTGCCATCTGGCTGGGAGCTGCCGTGGGGACCAGCGGGCAAACACCAGCCTTCCCTTTTTATCTCTCCCAGCATGTCAGGAAGGGATGGAATTTTACCAGCTGCACCACCCTGGACATTTTGCATATGCTATTCATATTTTGGAGCAGTGTTACCAATAATTCCTAATGGTAACAGACGAATATAACCTGTGAAAGTGATGTTAAATATCAAGCACGATGCTTATAAAAGCACATGCACAGCTGGGCAGAGGGGAACGTGTGTCTCGCCATGGGAATAGCTATCTAACGCTGTTAGTTTTGACGCCAGTACTAAATGCGAAGCATGAGTAATTTTGCAGCTTCATGTTCGGTACTAAACAGTAAATGAAAGGTCAGTCCAACATGTTAACTGTCATGGAATAGTAAACACTCCTTTAATTGCTTCGTGCAGCCAGCTTGGATTTTTGGTGCGTCTGTTGTCATGTTTTGAGCAGCATGGTCCAGAGCCTTGTCCTGATTACCTCCCCCTGCTCAAATGACAAAAGCCTCAAATTAAAGGATAAACTTTATGCCTGGGCTTTTCAGGCAGCGTACTGGGAGTTTGTGCTTTGAATGCTGAAAAGCCACTCTGGGGAAGAGGTTTCTTGATCTGATTGGAGCCAAAATCCAGGTTGAAGCGTAGTTTTGCATTTTCTTGAGGTTTTCCTTCCTTGCTCTTCGTTTCTGAAGTGCAGAAGCTCAGCAGTTTCTGTTGCACTTTCTCACTTTTTTTTTGTTGTTTAGCCTGCCCAGCACTGTAGCAGATGGGAAACAACATACACAAATAAGAAAGAAAATAAAGGGAAAGGGCTGCTACCAAATTTCCCCCAGCCAAGCCGGTTGAGAGCTCCGTGATGCCCAACCTGCCACATCCCCAGAGCAAAGTTCAGAGCATTCGCTTGCTGGACTGGCAGCAGTTCTGCCTTGACTTTTGCACTTAAAAACCTCTCTGCAGGGAGCGACCTGTTGTGCTGTAGTTAAACAGGGCTGCGTGTACACACTGGGGAGTCGTCGCAATGGCAAAGTCCACAGGTGTAGCCATGAGGTCCACTTTTGGGGGGTTTGTTGGTAGAAATCCTGAAATTGTGCCTTTTAAGCAAATATGGCAGATATTTGTTGAAAGGAAATCTGTGTTTATAATTATGTTGCTGTCTGAACTCACACCTGCTACTTCTGTTCTCTGATTAGTTCAACGTATGCCTTGTGTTACGCGAGATAAACCTACATTTCAGCTATTTAATACTTTTTTTTTGTAATCAAACCTCAAAGCAAGATTTGTTTCATACAATTATTCAGGGAAAATGTGTGAACTAAAAAGAAAGCTGGAAGGAATAGGGTTGCAACTTAATTTACCAGATAGAAATTATGCAAGGAGAAGCTCCGACAATTTGCATAATGTTGCAAGAAAGAAAATGACAGTAAGTTATCGTTCTGATTTCATCCTGGGTTTCAAAACAAGAGGGGATGGGGGAGCCTTACAGATGCAGTGTATTTGTA